GCTTTTCTTTCAATCCCCACCGCCCTTTTTTGTTTCTTCCTTTCATCTCAGCCACATATGTGGCATGTCACATGGCTCCAGATTTTCTGGAGCCTTCTAAGGATGTTTAAAATTACCAATTTATCCCCGACTTTAAACGTTAATAACTTCTCTGTTCTAACTCCGTTTCACGAACAGTTTGCGCCTACGCGTTCGTGAGATCGAGCTCTATTCAAAAATATAAATTTTGACCTCAAAAGGTCTACGTATTTTAAATAATTAATGTCCAAACTTTAAGCCTTGTAACTAGTTTAATTTAAAACTAAACTTTTATGAATTAATATAAATTCTCAATTCTTTTCACATATTCATAATTATGAATATCCAATTCATACATTTAAATTTTTTCAGGGTATTAAAGTTTCACCCAAGCTTCATCTTGGTCATGGATAGATCACCCAGATTCGGTTTCATAAGTAGTGACAAAATTGCCCTATGAAGACCCACCCCTGGGTAAGCTATGAAGCTTCATACACATGAAAAATCAGATAAGTTATGAGGCTCGTGTGAATAAAACTCAAGACAATAAATCATAGTTAAGCACTTTTCAACATATAGTTCAAACATGGAAAATAGACTAGAGCACAATTTGATCAAGTTGATTAGAGCATTGTGCTATCTTTTTGCACACTTAGTCGAATCTCCCTCCACTTAATACAAGCATGGGTATACATGTTCAGCTGAGTGTGCAAGCTTTTAACTTGAAAGTTGTAATAACTTGTATTATGATCTTTTAGCCATTCATATGCGCCAAACAAATAAACTGTTTATCATGATGATGCTTGTAACCAAAACCTTCGGTTGGTTTGACACACACAGATAGCTAAACTATTTCCATTTTGAATGACTTTTTGCAGATATGATATTTAAATGATGGTAAAGAAAATGAACGGTTCTAATTATGATGTTCTTACGATGAAGATACATTAATTTAAACTACATATTAATAGAACTTTTTTTGTCAACCAAAAGAAGGTGAAAAGACCATGTAGTTTTCTATCACAACAAAAAAGTTAAGAGCAATAACGTAATTTCATAGAACAAATTTTGTTGCTTTTTGTTTAAGCCTCACCTACAGGCTACATGTGATTTTAACATCTCTAAGTTAAAAAAATAAAAATATATAAAAAACTTAACCTCTCCCCTCTCTTCCTCTCTCCCAATCTCATCTTCCTTCTCCCTCAATTTTAAAAACGAAAATAAAATTTTTTACATTTTGTGTGTGAGTATATGCTAGTTATAAATAAAAGAACAAGTAGATTCACGGATAACACTTGCATTATCCTTTCCTTTTCGTTTTCCTTGTCCATAGGTTTGGATGAGAAAACAAAGATTCAGACACGAAGACCAAATAGAATGGCCGTTTAAGTTGGTTAAACAGACGACTTTAGATAATACTTCTTCTCCAGAAATAAAAACATTTATCCTTTAACCGTTAAACCTCATGCAAAACCCTCTGGGAAGACGATGCTCTGAGTGTCCAAAAATGGCGGTTTCAGCAAAAACCACTCGAATACCTCACTCTCCGCATCTTCCCAATCCTCAATTCCCCAAGACCAATAAGCTCGAAACCATCGATTTCTCACACAAGCTCCAAACCCACCAAATTTCCTACAGAAAAACCCAAGAAATCAGAGTCTGCAGCACCTCCTCTGTTTCCACACAGAACCCAAACTATGATTTGAACGAGCTTTGCCGCCATGGGAACCTTGAACAAGCTTTGAAGCTCTTGGATTCGATGCAGGAGGTTCAGGTTAAAGTGGATGAAGATGCTTACGTTGCTTTGGTAAGGCTGTGTGAGTGGAAGCGAACGCATGAGGAAGGAGCTCGCGTGTACTCGTACATATCGAATTCGACGACCCTTTTGAGTGTTCGGCTTGGGAATGCATTGCTGAGCATGTTTGTGAGGTTTGGTAATTTGGTTGATGCTTGGTATGTGTTTGGAAGAATGGGTGAGAGGGATGTGTTTTCTTGGAATGTTTTGGTTGGCGGGTATGCAAAAGCGGGGTTTTTCGATGAGGCTTTGAATTTGTATCATAGAATGTTGTGGGTTGGGATTGTTCCTGATATTTATACATTTCCTTGTGTTCTTAGGACTTGTGGGGGCGTGCCGGACTTGGCGAGGGGAAGGGAGATTCATTTACATGTGATTAGATTCGGGTTTGAGTCCGATGTTGATGTGGTTAATGCGTTGATCACAATGTATGTGAAATGCGGTGCTGTTGGTACTGCACGGAAGTTGTTTGATAAAATGCCTAGGAGGGACAGGATCTCGTGGAACGCAATGATTTCGGGATATTTTGAGAATGGAGAGTTTTTGGAAGGGTTGAAATTGTTTCTCATGATGCGCGAGTCTTCAATTTATCCGGATTTGATGACTATGACTAGCTTGGTATCTGCTTGTGAGCTTCTTGGGGATGATAAATTAGGGAGGGAAATCCATGGTTACATTTTGAGGACGGAGTTTGTGGAGGATGTTTCGGTTTGTAATTCTTTAATTCAGATGTATTCAATCATTGGCCATTTCACGGAGGCTGAAAAAGTTTTTTCTAGAATGGAATATAAAGATGTGGTGTCATGGACATCGATGATCTCATGTTATGGCAATAATGCACTGCCTGACAAGGCGGTGGAAACCTACAGACTGATGGAGAGAGAGGAAATCATGCCAGATGAAATAACCATAGCCTGTGTTCTATCTGCTTGTGCATGTTTAGGAAATTTGGATATGGGTATGAAGCTTCATGAGCTTGCTTACCGGACTGGGTACATATCATATGTGATAGTTGCCAATACACTCATTGATATGTATTCTAAGTGTAAATGCGTCGATAAGGCTTTGGAAGTGTTCCATGGCATCCCCAGCAAGAATGTCATATCATGGAGTTCTATCATACTCGGCCTTCGGATCAACAATCGGTGCTTTGAGGCTTTGATTTTCTTTCGGCAAATGAAACTCAGGCTGAAACCAAATTCTGTTACCTTGGTTTCTGTCCTATCTGCTTGTGCAAGAATAGGAGCTTTGATGTGTGGAAAAGAAATTCATGCCCATGCATTAAGGACTGGTGTAGCATTTGACGGTCATTTACCCAATGCACTTTTAGACTTGTACGTAAGGTGTGGGAGGATGGGATCTGCATGGAACCAGTTTAACTATAACAAAAAGGATGTTGCAGCTTGGAATATCCTACTAACTGGGTATGCACAGAGGGGGCAAGGAAGGGAAGCAGTTGAGCTATTTCACAGTATGGTTGAGTCCGGGTTAGATCCGGATGAGATCACATTTATTTCACTATTATGTGCTTGCAGTAGGTCTGGTATGGTTAGTGAAGGGTTGGAGTATTTCAGAAGCATGAAACTTGATTATTTTATCACACCTAATCTGAAGCACTATGCGTGTGTTGTTGATCTACTTGGTCGTGATGGTCAATTGGATAATGCGCACGAGTTTATACAGAAGATGCCTATAAATCCAGATCCAGCTATATGGGGAGCCTTGTTAAATGCATGCATGATCAACAAGAAGGTTGAACTTGGTGAGCTTGCAGCTGAGCAAATTTTTAAGATGGATACAGAAAGTGTTGGGTATTACGTACTTATGTGTAATCTCTATGCTGACAGTGGAAAATGGGAAGAAGTGGCACTAGTAAGAAAGATGATGAGGAAAAGGGGCCTAACTGTAGATCCTGGATGCAGTTGGGTGGAGGTAAAGGGAAAAGTTCATGCTTTCCTAGGTGGTGATAATTTGCATCCTCAATTTAAGGAAATAAATGCAGTTATGGACGGATTTTATGAGAAGATGAGATTTGCGGGTGTCAAAGAGCCCGAAACCCGTCCAACAGATGAATTTGAAGCTTCAAAAGCTGAGATCTTCTGTGGACACAGCGAAAGACTTGCAGTTGCATTTGGGCTCATTAACACAGCGCCTGGGATGCCTATATGGGTGACTAAGAACCTGTACATGTGCCAAAGCTGTCACAGTACTATCAAGTTTATCTCTAAGGTTGTGCGTCGGGAGATTTCTGTAAGGGATACAGAAAAGTTTCACCATTTTAAGGACGGCTCCTGCACTTGTGGGGATGAAGGTTACTGGAGAAACTCCGACAAATGAGCTGTTGGAGGAATATTTAATCTTAGATAATGTGGGGCAGCAGATAATTTGGGCTCAAAGAAGATGTGCAACAGAGATCTCAGGAGAGGAAGTAAGCTGCTTATTATAGTACACTAGCACTAGGAAAAAAAAAAAATAGGGACACTGTGAGTGCACTTTAAATTGAAATTTTTTCAATGCTACCCTTCTCGGGGGTAATTGTTATCTCATAACAGTTAATATGTTGTACCTTTATCTTTTCTGCTTTTGAGTTTTTTATATACATAATTACCCTGTAAAGGGGGTAATGGTTTAGAAAATTGTATAGATACGATATCATGTCAGATTTATCCGATTTATGCTTTACCACTACACTTTTGGGGCAACCTTATAAGCTCGAAATACACATGTGGCCTTCGGTAATGTGGTTGTTTATGCAATACAGCATTATTAAACCACAAACTTTCTCCACCACCAATGGATAAGAATGCTGGACTGGATATGCAGTGAACTTATCGGTATATTGTAGAGCGCTGTCTATCTCTTATGCACTAATGCTTCTAAATGTGTGATTTGTTTGTTTGGATTTGTTTGCTGCAGATATGTCCGCTTCTGTTCGACTTTCACGTAAGGCCTAAAATGTAATTCGACTTTCATTATCACGCATGACTTACATTTGTATGAGTCTGCATCTATTCCATTTAACGGAGCTCATGGTAATATCTAATGTCTTCCTTATCAGATTTTCTTCTTCTGCATTGTTGTAGACTTTCTAGCTGAACATTTGGGATGATTCTGGCAACCGAAATCTTACAAGGAACTTGAATAGGATCCTTATATAGGTAAAATAGAGAATGCATATTTTAGCCGATGAAGGAAACGGAAGCTGAATTTATTTAGTAAAAGTACAACTAGCTGTTATCGCAAATCAATCTTATACACAAATAACATTATAAAAGAATACTTAAGCTGGACACAATTATTCTTAGCTTATGGCGTCATCGCCTTGCTTGCACTCTTTACTGAAGAAAACCATACCTAGGAAAAACAATGGAGAAGAAAAAGAATGAATACAGTTGAAAAATAGATGAGCAACTGAACTTCTGTTCATATTTTCAATCCCTTCTTGATTGTTTTTATAGATGACTTCATAAATTTGTTTCCCGTGGCATAGCTCTCTTCATCATCACTGGTTACCATGGGCTTCTTTCGTATGCAGTCAACACCCTTTTTCATGCCCAAAATTATAGACGGAGAAGATGGGATTCGTCGAAAGACTCTAGCACTCTCAGACCTTGTAAGTTTTCTTTCCTTTCCGTTACTATGGTCCCTTCTTTCCCTCCCTTCAAAACTCTTCCTGCTAAAAACTCCCTTAAGGGCCTTAACGGGAGTATGCACTTGATTTGCATTTTCATTCCTCTCTTGGAAAATTAACTGCTGCTTCGGTACACCTACTTTAGCATTAGCCTCTGGACACTTGAGATTCTTGACTTCCTGTGGGTACTTCAAATTCATTTGACTGATTATATCACCGGTCTTGTGCTCTTCATTTGCACTTTTGTTCTCAGGATCCAACTCTTCTGGAGAACTATCCAACAGAATCTGAAGCCACTTCTCTACATTCCCCTTGCCACGTTCTTTTCTGCTTTCTTCATCTTCCACAATCTCCGGTTCTCGAATGACAGGGAATTGGAATTTGTGCTTCCCTTCTATTTCCAGTGTCCGCATTTGATTCTCTAACAAGCTCTCATCCTCTAATGCAACACTGTATCTGGCCTGCTCTCTGAGGTTGTCAATAGACAAACGTTTTTTCGGTCTTTCCAGTTCCTCATACAGTTGAATTCTTCTATCGTCTTCGTTCTGTGATAAAGCAGCATCACATGCCTTCTGTTCTTCCTCTAGAAACACCCTTAGTTCCTTACGTAAAGGCGTTGTTGGCTTGGTTGCTGGTAGACAAAGGACCATCTTGCTGTCTCTCTCCTCAGCTAATGCATCATCCATTCTCGACCTTTTCCTTGCTTGTTCCCATTCAGGCCGTATCTGTGTCTCAAGCTCATCTCTTTGTTTGTATTTCTTATGAAGTTCTTTCTCCGATGCATCACATATTGCCTTTTGTGCCTCAAGTCTTGCCATGAGCGCACTACTTGCGGCTTGGTTCAGTCTCAGCTGCTCCTTGTAAATGACAGACCTTAAGCAAAAACAAAAAGGGAAAAGGGTTAATGAATCAGTCTGTAAAACACATTTTATAAAGGTCGAAAATGATAATCCTCTACTCAGAACATTGTTTATTAATCTTACTGGTGCATAGCATCTCGAATCATCTTTTCGAGTGTGGTCCTATATGATGATTGTGCCTCTGCTAGCCGCCGGCACTTCTCTGCTCTTCTCCTTCGCTTTATCAACGTCAGTTCCAAGTTTTGAATGGTGAGCTTCTCATCTTCATTTTTTCGCCTCAATTCATTCACTTCATCATCCAAATTTTGTATCTCAGCCTGCATCTTTGCAGTTTGTTCTCTTTGTTTTAGGGAATCTCTTGCCATGACAATCGCTTGGTATGGGTTTCTAACGTACTCCGGGTTCTCATTTTCTTTCAAAACAGCATGTTTCCCATTCCTTGCAGCTAACACAATCCAAAACAAAAAAAAAAAAAAATGATTATGAATTACGATACTCATTATTACTAAACAGACAATAAAAACTGTTGAGTAGTTGTTACTTAAGCACTAACCAATTGCAGGAGATTGTGGCCTTATCTGCTTATTGTAGTCCAGGGATTTCAAAGCAGATGAAGAACCATATGACTCTCTTCGAGATACAACAATGGCAGCCGGAGCTAGGCCCAAGTGCTCTTTCGATTCCACATAATGTTTCGGAAAAGCATGGGACTCTACCGTCTGTGAAGAATTGAGCTCCTCGCATTCACCTTCAGCAAAGAGAAACGAGAATGCCCTGTGCCTGCCAATGTTGTGAAAGGACACAAATATGTCACAAGTCAATGTTCTTGAAACAAGAAGCGTGTATGAAGAGAAATATGAAGTAGACTTCCACCTGAAATCGGCATTGGTAGAAGCAAATATCGATAAGAACTGGTTGACGGATATACCCAACTGAAAATCCCACCATGGAATGAGAAATTCAAGCATGTCATGCTTCTTCTTGCAGGCTTGCCATTGCAGTATCCTCAAATTGCTTGGGACAGTCAGTCCTCCCCCTAAATTTTCAGCAAAAATGACCGGAGATTACAAATATGTAGAGAGAGAGAGAGAGAGAGAGAGAGAGAGAGAGAGAGAGAGAGAGAGAGAGAGAAGATAGAGCTATATACTTGAGCAAGGAAACCAGTGATCTATGTCCCAAGCAAGAGGAGAAGCAGAATCAGCATGGAAATACAGAACGTTGCCATACGAGTCTACTCGAATTACAGCAGGATCAAAGCCGGCATTCCTGAAATTCGAAGTATAAAGTCAGGTAAAAGAATATCATTGTTGAATTCTCCAAGTTTTCTAATTTTGAAGGTTTATGGAGCAAAATCAAGCGATTTACCCAAGGTGGTTGAGCTGCTTCCACAAAAGACTGACGAAAATCTTTGGCCTGGCAGTAGGTTTCGCTTTCGGGTCAATAACCGGAAACATCTGCTCTAAATCTCTTGCTCTCAGATCCTGAAAACCACATCACATCATAAACCTAGCATTCCCAGAATCAAAGAAAGAAAACAACCCAATTTCCAATTTCCTTCCTACATTTCTCTCACTTTCCTGGGAAACAAACAGAAAGTTAAAAGTTTCACTTCTCATACCTCCTCTTGCTGCAGACAGTAAGGCATGAAAGTGAAAGGAGGGCCATGGCTGTAAGGTCCAACGCTGCGGTCACGGCAGAGCTTCGCGTAGGCTTTTGGGTACCCGAGGCCGTCATCGATTTCCATTTCGCCTCCGGTGAATGCGTAATCGAAAGCCATTGTACTTCGATTGGGTGCACGGAAGAAAAACAGGGGCAGCAGAGGCGTTTTGTTTTGGCTGAGATTCAAGTTAACGGTCACATTGGTTGTCTTCTTTTTTCTTTTAAAAAGGTTGGAGGGTTGAAGATTTGGTTGACACGTCAGCAAACGGTAAGGCGATGGTGTAACGGCTAGAATAGGGGGGATGGTCCACAGTGGTTATGATAATTAAATTTTTGTAACGAAGTCTTGACCACTTCCATACATCTTGGATTTTTATATAATTAAAATTTGGTACCTGGTTGTTTGATTTTACATTTCTTCCCCCTCCTTCATTTAAATTTGATAGGAAAAGGGTTTTGTCAGGACTTTGAGAAGGGGTAGATTTTACTAAAAAAGAAAAAGAAGAAGAGAGATAAGTTTATTTGACTTTTTACGGTATAGTTATTTTTAGTTATCTGTAAATTTAGATTGCAACACGATGAAATGACTTACTAAAACAGTAAAAAAAGATAATATTGTTTACACGCATATCACACTGTAAATTATTTGTGAGAAGACATTGTTTGTTAATCATGACCATGTCATCATGATATTAGGTGGAATATGTTTGATGGGAAATTTTAAAGAGATTTTATTAAGTACCGCGTATTTAAAGGGCGTTTCATAATATAAGTAGAGTAAGTAAAATAGGGACTAGGTGTGTGGGGCTCACTCCATATAGAACTTCACGATGCGAACTGTCTATTTTCTCAATCTCAATTCATGGATCATCTTTGCAAAAATTCAATTCAATCCGAAACCATTTGCCTATTTAATTATCAAAATAAAATTTCATTGTTTCTTATATAACAAAATATTCGTTAATTTCTTTGAACCCAATTAGGTGTCTTAAACATTTCTAATTTGACTAATATTTTGCAAAGATGATTTATGAGGTACAACTCAAAAAATAGACTGTTTGGATCGTTAAAGTAAATCTCACGACTAATCCCCATTTTTATAAAAAAATTAAATATCCCTCCCCTTAAAGATTTCCTATTTTTATATATCCCTCAACTTATTTTACGAGCACCCGCAAGAGTACCGTTCGCTTGAAGGGAAAAAAAAAAATCGACATTTGTTCAAGTCAAAAGCGATAATGAAGCAATGATTTCTTCATCATTTGATGTTTGAACAAAAAATAAACACATCTGTAAAAGCGGCAGAAAGCTCCTTTTAGCTCAAGTCGAATCCAATATTCACTTTGCCCTCAGGGCCTACAAGAAAGAGGGCCGGCTAGTGTTGTCCAGTCCATCCAAACATATCATTGTTCTTGGACTTCTTTAGTTTGGGGTTTATTGTTTAACAAAACAAAGAACGGAATTTAGTTCAAAATCAATTAAATATTTTCATTAGCCATATAATAATGAGAAATTTCTATTTTATAGGTCAATAAGGAAGTCCCAAGATAATTAAATACAAAGTAACGTTTTTGACCTCCTGATATGCTTGTTGACGTCCTAATTAAGGACAGTTCTCATCGCAACCTTAGTTGATGTTGATGTAACTTTAATGCTTTCTAAGGATAGTTAACTATAGTTAAGTTGTTTTGTGCAAGACACTCTCTTTTCTTCGACCGGGTTAAAATTCTCGGCAATTTCTTTTATCGAGAACCTTTTATGCACTCTATCCTCTTGCTTTATACATTTTCTCCCCTTTAATGAATATCGTACTTCTTAAAAAAAAATTGCATTAGACCAACTCCAATCCTTGACCTAAGGCCAAAACAAATTTAGGCTTTTCATTTTAGGCCTTTGGCCAGAAAACTATGCTTTTCGACTAATAGTATGGCCTAAATGTTATGCTAGAAAAAAATTTTAAATATCGTTTTAGCATTTTTTTTTTTTCCGTGAACTTTTTGAAAAATAATATTTATTAAGATTAACTTAGCTTAATTTTATAAGCATTTTAACCTTAAAATATTTAAATTCCAAGAATGACACACCTCGACCCGAAATGTTTACTGGGACTCCGAATCGAGCTGTGCTGGCCGACACCTGGAAGGTGACGAAATCATAAAGTATAGTGATGTGGAAAATGTGAATAAATTTAAACCTAAAAGTGCCTAAAGACAAGAGTGCGTTGTGAGCGGGAATGAACCCATTCCATACGCGACGTCAGAGCATAAATAAAGTACAGTAGTGTGGATAAGGATCACAAACTGACACGCCTCGACCAAAGTTGAGACGTGCTGGCCGTCGCGAGAGGGTGACGTAGTCAAGTGCGCAACAGAAGTGAAAATGATAATAAGAAATTGTGAATAAATAAAATAAAAAAACTAATTAAAACTTATCTATGCTAAAGATAATATGAAGTGTGTGTAGAAGTGACCTAGTCATGCTACAAACGTTTAGAGCATAGGTATCACAAGTGCAATCAAACTGAATGAGTACTAATTATACAAACAGAGAGAAAATCCCTACTTATTTATAGAGGTGTCAGAATCGCCGTGAAGTCCTCGTGAGCCACCAAGGATGATCAGCTACATAGAACCAGGAGGGGCGCAAAACAAAACACATGAGTGCGAACTTTGAGATTTATAGTGATGCTTTCTTGACATGGCATACCTCTGCTTTCACTGCTTCTAAGCATTGTTTTTATATACTTACATGTTATCATTTTCTACGAAATTATATGGGTTTTATCATGAGGGGTTAGTATGTTCATAAGGACAACTATGTTTTCAAAAGCTTTTTTTTTACCCACATAAGAACTTCCCAGATGGGTGTGAGTTTCGATGGAACCTGAAACTAGTGAGTTCCCAAAAACAAAACCGTGAGGGCGTGATCGGGGCCCAAAACGGACCATATCATGCTACGGCGGAGCCGAGACTAGAATTTGACAAATAAAGTATGAAAAATCACACAATAGACACATACGAACCACACTTTCACATATTTTGTGTGGAACAAGTGGATGTATGAACAAATGGATGGGTATTTATAGTGTTTTGGGGGTGAAATTTGAGTTAAATAATTTTTTTTTTTAAATTATCACAACCTTTAGATTTTAATTTGGGTCGTTGGATCATTTTTTACCATTATATTTTAACTCATTTGATCACAGCTGTTGGATTACAAGTAAAAGTAAATAAACGTTTTTTATTTTTTGAAATACGACTGTTGATCAACTGACGATCATTGATTTTAGCTATGCAAAGCAGCTAATGGTGAGCGACGGGCCTGTCAGTGGTGGGCCCTTTGGTGCGTCGTTGTGCTGGGCAAAACATGGAACTTACTTGCAAAGGTGGCTCCTATTCGTTTTGGTCGTGGCCTAGATCTTGTTTTTTCATTTTTCATTTTTTTTTTCTTTTGCTCGGGCCAATTTTTTTGCCAAGGTCAAATGGCAAAGGCCTAAAAGTACTGGCCTTGGCCAGGGTTGAGTTGGTCTTAATATATCTCAATACATGATTATAAATATTGTTGAAATTATTGTTAACACTAAACATTTATTGATAAAAAAATCACCCATAAACAAAAGGAAAGTGAATAAGCTAATCAATTTTTTTAAATGTGGTTGCAAATCGAATGACGACTCCAACTACTTCAACGACATTTTTGCTTTTCCAATTCTTTAGAGCTTTGTTTATCTTTCACTTCTATAACAAAATGATTGTCTTTCATAAAGAAATATCAAATACAATTGACAAACATACTGTAATTTGACATGAAAATTTTGAATTATTGAGTGAATTCACCATTGAAGGCCTTAAGAGTTACCACTTTGAGTTTCTATGCATCCCTTGAACACTGCTCTTCAAATGTTTGACAGAATGTCTTAATGGACTATTGTGCAGTGCTTGCCTCCGCATGGTTTGTTGTATGCTTAATTGATATGTAATTTTATCTAATCGATGATTGATATACAATTATTTCTCGAAGAATTGCCGTTCGTATACTAAAGCTATTTTTTCATCATTTAAAATCTACTAATGCTAATGGTACATACAACTTGCCTTTTATAAGAGGGTTCTACACAATTATTCCGCAATTACATATTGTGTCTCCAAAATAATGTGGTGTCTCACTATCACAACTTCATAGAACTTGAAAAATTGGCCTTCATTAAATACAACTTTACCAAAAGACAGAACTATACCAATATCCAAAAATAAAAATTGATGAAGAGGCAACTAACAACCCTAATAATTTTGCTACTCCACTCTACATAGAGGCTACCAATAATTATTTTTCAAATCATAAGAAACAATTGTTACAAATTCTTAAATCTCCAAGTGTAGCAGAGAGATTCAAGAGTACCTAAAACACAAGATTCCTTGTTTCAATTTTGGTGCAGTCGAACGTTCATCATAGAACAAATTTGACCGCACTGTCAACGACGTTCGCGCTAGTACCAAAATTGGAGGAACTATAATATTTATCTTTGAGTTTAAGGCAATCAACTTTCCAATGCCCTTCCTTGCGACAATAATTGCATGTATTTTTCTGGTCTTAGATTTAGATCTCGAATTTCATCTATTACTATTTAAACCATATTCTTTATCTTTGCCTCGTGCTACCAAAGTCTCAGAATGAGCATCATTCGAATTTCCAAATACTTTTTTCTTTAACTCTATTCTCCACACAAAGAGAATACTTTTAACATCGAGCTGATGCAGTAGTCAAGATATATTAACTGCAACTGACAGAATAACTCGTTTTGACTTGAGTTTAGTTTGGCCACAAGATTTCCACAAAATTCGCATACCAAGGAGCTAAAGAACAACAAAATCTAAGATTGATCCTCATCATCAATTTTATTATCCATATCTTTCAAATTCATGATAATCTTATTGAGGGAGAGAAGATAAAGAGGGTTTCTGTAAAGAGAGAAGATAAAGTTTATAGATACAAAAAAATAAATTATTATATCACCTCCAACATCATACCATTTTTATTCATTTACTATAGTCATAATAGTTTATATAAAATTTAACAAACACTTCAATACTGTTTTTTTCGTTAAAAGCAGTTTTACAAAAAATATTTACCAAACACTCAATTGCTTTATTTTACATACGTTTATTCTTAACACACTAGTAGCAGTTTTTGTTAACAAACACAACAATACCAAACTAGCTTTATATGTTCGAGTGAGAGGGCCGTAAAAAAAATTCAAATGGTTGAGGTCATATTAGTAATAAACTAAGTGAAGGCCACCAAAAGCATTCGTATATATACCCCATCTAGAAAGCTCGATATTTCACAATGTTAAAAGGAATATGGTTTTTATAACATGCATTCAT